GTCGCAAGCCGCGGTCGTTGTTCGCGCCACTCCGTCGCGTCGCTCCTCCGACGTAAGCACGTAACTTCATTTTGTGATGAACTTCGTTGTCCGTATAATTCCATGATTCCACGGGCTCACGTGTAAATAGAGTTACGCTGTTATGTTGAAACAGCGACTTGTAGCGTGTCGCTATCCTCGAAGCTGTCTCGTCGATTGCCCTCACAAGCAGAGCGGGCGCGATCATGCTACATGCAATTTTCGTGGAGTTCCCATCCGAAAAGCCATCTTCCAGATGAGTATTGCCTTTGTAGAATCACTATGACGATTCCTGAATCAATTTAGTACAGGATGATGATGATTACATTTTTCCGTTTCGAGACATCAAGAGGGAACTCCCCGGGCCCCACTGCGCTTCCAGTAACAATTTTGGAGTTTTGCGTCTCGAGTTCGGTGAAAGACATCAGTGTCGAATATTTGTTCACATATAGAGCCTCTTTTAAGTCCTAATCGTATAAAGTAAGAATGTGTAACAGACTTGATTTTTAGAGAAATGTCAATTACGATTCTCTTGCTCTATATTATTGGTGTATAAATTGTAAGACTTCGGGACGCATGATCTTTGAATTCCTTTACCGCGTTTCTTTACCTTTATCTGTCAATGTAAGTTTTTATCCAATCGTTAGGTATTTTGCATCAAATTCTTAACTTATTTTTCGCCTTTACTCACCTCAAGAAAAAAAACACCAAGAAATATGGCCTGGACTGTACGTAATGAGGTGGTTAAGAGCTATGTTTTACTGTAATTGAAATTTTTTAACTTTTTGCCCTTTTTTCCGCCGGCAAATAGTGTGGATCTGCACTATTTTACCACCTTTTCACCACCTTTTTACCAATCGTAGCTCACTATAAAAAATTGGCCAAGAACGGATCGCACCACTTGAATCGCAGTAGTAAGGATGGAACGCCCAGAAGAGCTAAACAAGCGTGTTGGGCGTTCGGGCGCTGAAAGGGCCTTGTGCATTAAGCGAAAGATAAGTGCTGGAGCGTCAATAACAATTTAAGAAGCCGTAATGAAACCGAATTCTTATCTTTATTGTCTACTGTGTATTTATTCTATCACTTCTACAGTTCTACCTCACTTTTTAGGCCATAATTTTGAAACGCACAATGATCCCACTTCGACAGTTTTTCCGTGTATAAAAATTCCTACTTTAAAGCGAGTTCAAGGTGATTTCTGGTCATAGTTTTTAGCACCGTCCTAAAACCGGAACAGGATTCTCAAGTCTCAGCAGTGAAAACAAAGGAAATATTACAAAGATCGCTTAGGGGTCTGTCTTTATATACTCTAGTGAACCACAGGCCCACGCCGGAAAGTTTTATTATCATCAACAAAGAAAATAACTGCCACATTTTTACCCCAAACTACGGCATGACTGTTTTACCTTTTCCGGGAATCAAGTCTCAAGCCCTCTCTCCGAAGTGATTTCCCTTAGGGGCGTCCATAAATTACGTCACCTAAGGAGAAGGAAGGGGTGGATTTAGCGGTGAGTGGCGGGAGGGAGGGGGGAGTCTAGCCAAGGCTGACGTATGCTTTTCTGAAGGCTGAAAGGCTGTAAAGGCTTGCTTGAAATTTGACCATATCGATAAAAATACTGATCTTTATCGCTTTTCTGAGTTTTATCCCCAAGGGGGGGGGGGCTACGCTAAAGATGACGCAATTTCAAGGAGATGGGGGGTGACGGTTGGATAGGGTGAGGTAGGGAGGGGTTGAAAAATTGAAAAAATGGGTGACGTAATTTATAGACGGCTCCTTATCACTGTCGAAAACTATTGAATTTTTCGTGAATCTAGTCGAGTTCGTGTTGGGGGCCGTGCTGTCGTGCTAAGGAAGAACGCCATATGACCATTCGAGAGTTGCCAAATTTTCACCGATAAATTGTTTATTTTTGCGAAAAATTGTCGATATTTTTCGATGACATTTTCAGGTTTTTTTTTTTTTTATCAAATTGCAAGCAAAATTACCTGAGAACAGAGGCGGATCCAGCAATTGGGCAACACCGTATTTCCTCCATTTAAACCTATGCTAAATAATCGATTATTGTCGGAGCACCCGGCTCCTCTAAGAATCGATACATTTCCATAGGTTTACATGGAGGAATTCCGGTGTTGCCAAATTGCTTGATCCGCCAATGCCTGAGAAATCGGAAGAAAAATATTCACAAATTTCCTCGAAAATTAGTGAATTGTCAAAGGAAATTGGCAACGTCGGAAGGCTCTTACGGCGTTCTTACTTAGAACGGTGGTGTGATGGAAGGTATACTTACATACATGATCGCGCTCCCCGCGCCTTTCTCTGGGCTACGTCAATGCACTCGCATATTTTCTCAAGGCGCTCGGCCTTTAGCCGGCCTTAATTGCGCCGTGAAAACGGGACCAGATCTCGACCCCTCTCCCGCCCCCTCCCTCGGCCTGCCTTATTTACACGGAGCCTTTTTGTTTTGATCCCTCCTGCATCGGGAAATTACTGCAAGTCGCTAATGGCTCCGCTAAACCTGATTCTTTATTTACGCGCTCCGTACAACTGGGCGACCGTGACGTAAAATCTCCCGCTCTTTTCCTCCATCGCATCGCTCAATCACCTTGTTTTCTCACCGCACTGCCGTGTTACTCAAGAAACCAGTAAGTCCATAAGTAAGCTTTTGGGAAAATGGACCTCCCATCGTTTTGGCTAAAAATTTTACTGAAGAGATCCTCTGGTTTTTTTTTCGTGAAATTTTTAATTATCATCTACGCGACTATTACTTATAGTTCAAGTGGTTAAGAATTTCCAAATATTACCTTCGACTGCAAACAAAAAGTGACTTATTTATTTCACGAAATGCAGTACACTGCCGTGCTAAGGAAGAACGCCGTATGAACTTTTGATAGTTGCCATTTTTGGTCTTGATAAAACATGTATTTTTGACAACATTCATGCATATTTTTCTTTGAAATTTTCAGATATTTTAGATTAAATTGCGTACTAAATTCTCTGAAAATTTTGGAAAATAATATTCATAATTTTCCCAGTAATTTTTGTTTTTATCAGAGGTAACTTGGCAACGTTTGAAGGCTCGTACGGTGTTTTTCCTCAGCACGGCAGTACAGCCGTATGTGCAATCCTCTGTATGCTTTTTTGTAAGTAACAAAAAAATTTTACCGTCAGGTGTCGGCAAAAAAGGGCACCATTTTGCACAAAGCAGCAGCAAGTACGGTTCTTTCGCAGGATGATGTGGATTTACTGTTGTTGTTGGAAATTACAGCGAATATTGCTGTTTTATTGGAATCATCCAGTTTAGTTAAGTCGAATTGGTGGAATTCGGAAAAAAAATTCGATTTTGAGAAATGCTCATGACCTCTCCTCAGTACACGGCGGAGTAGTCTATATCCAAACCTTTGACTCAGTTTTTGCCGATCATTCTGAGTCCGGGTACGAGGACGCAGTTGGAATGCTGTCTTTGCCAGTCTACTGCCGAATGTTAGCCACGCAATATTTGCATTTACAACTCGTAGGATTTACAATCCGCAGTTTTCACACTGCTTATATGTTCGCACGTTGATTTTATTTAAACATGTTCACAAACCTTTTTAATTTCCCTTTTTAGATAAAATTGTCTACATTTGTAATAGTATTAAGCTTTATTCAATAAATCTACTCACAGAATATTTTGATTCGCCCGCTTTTTTGGATTGTCACGTCCCGGCTGCGGCCCTTTACGGAGGCTTTTATCAGAGACCCTTAGAAATGGTTGTTTCTTCTTCCCCATCCTTCCAAAAGTGTCATTAGCTGGAGCTACGGCTTTCTAGTTTTTGGAAAATCATCATTTTCTCTACGTTGCAGCGACAATATGGACCAATACTGATGTAAAACGGCTTTCCTCCTCCGTAGTGCTGAATTCTCAGAAATACTAAAATCTCAAGTTTTAGCACAATGTAAAGGGGTCCGAGTTTTTTTTCACCAAGATCCAAAACTCCCTGACATTCCCCTTTAACTTAAGATTTTGACATTCTTGCGGTCATGGATTGATTTAGCGCTGATAATTATGAAAGACAACCATGCCCTTCGTTTTGGTCCATAGTTGCGCCAAAATTCAGATAAAAACTATACTTTTCCCAAAAACATGGGAGGCTTAGCTCTGACTGAGGACTATTTTTGAACATCTTTACAAAGGAGAAGACCTCTCCTCATTCTGACCTCACAGAGCACATTTCTGCAGTCTGACAGTCTTCCCCCCCCTCGTATTCTTCCTGATCGTAAAAATGATACCGCATCAAATCGCTTAATTCTGTTGGTGTACTTTTTTATTTTTATGCGGGTGAGTAGATATTAACTGCAGAAGTTTTCTCTGAACTTTAATGCTGCGCAGTACGTGTTTTGAATCTTGAAACTGCCACTGTATAGGTCATCACGGATGATAGTGTCATATTCTGGATGTCCAGAAAGAGGGTAATCTGTCGTGGTCATTCCCATGCTAATACTTGTCACAGATTTATTCAAAATTTATGGCGAATAAGCAATGACTCGCGTTGAATCCCCTCGTTGGTGCCTTGTCGTTCCGCTTTCAATACATCTGCATCACAACGGCATTGTAGCGAGGGAAACTAAAGACGTTTGTTGGATTATGCCGGGAAATTAACTCATCATTTAAAGTCTTTTATTGCCCTCCTGGACTTTTATGGCTCGACAGTAGTTTTGTACCACTGTTTGCCTCCGATGTGATTATTTGTGTCGAGATTTTTAATTCCTTTTAAAGGTTATTTGTATGGATGAAATCTTAATTGAAGAATGGGAAAAAGCCATTCTGAGGTGTACAAAAGCTACCGCTTACGTAATTTATTTACGTGGCTAAGTAGTGTTTTGAGGCTTTAAATTGATTATATTGAACTTTTCAGCGAATCAAATATTTTACGCGCAGGTGATTTGTATGTTAATTAATTATTCGCCAATTAATTAATTTGTAATTAATTGTCTGTTTTAGGCATACGAAGGAGTTCTGATGCTGATAGGAGACGAAGTTCTCTAGGAACCGCAACCGCTCATAGAGGCTCTGACGCTAGTCTAGACCCTCACCATGCTGCCATTCTTTTTAGGGATTCTCGAGGCGTAAGTTATTTTCACCGTTTTATTATTATTTTTAGTTTTGTTACCCATATGTGCCCATTGGGTCGTTAACGACCCATCGAAGTTTTTAACTTTGAGTGTTAGTGTAAATTAGGGAATTTCATGTGTTCAACACAGGAAAATCCATGTCTCGGATATAGGCAAGCCTACTTTATTTTTGTTGTGCCTCAACTTGTGTTTACCCTGTCTACATAACGTCAAAAACAATAAGTAAATAAAAAATCAATTAAAAAAAAATAGTTTTGGGCATATATGGGTTTAGTTTTTAAGTGCAGACCCTCCCCCAGCCTCTCAGCGATAGGTGAAAACTTCTTTTTTCGAGGCTTTACCATTCAACCCCTGGAATTATCTCTTTTTGGCTGTTAAAGGACGTGTTGAACTTTAGACAATGTTTGAAACCCTTTTTGGGCGTGCACGTTCAACTCTTGTAGTCGATGCAACAGCCAGCAGGAAGATAAGCCGATATGCGCGTGGTTCTGCCTAGAAAAAAAGGGGTTGAAAGAAAATAATGGCCTGGACAAAATTGTTTCCATCATTGCCGAGGTGGAGGAAAGGGGGGCTTTTAAAATTCATAAATGAATGGCTCTCCTAGCTAATTTTTTCACAATTTTTTTCCTAAGAACTAAAGGACTCTTTTTAGGTTCTTTTCAGTACCTGAAGTTCCCCCCCCCCCTACCTCTCACGCTTTCAGCATATCGACGTTGAGAGTCCTAAACCACGTATAGTTTGCGGCGTTTTAAAATCTCAGCTCTCGTTTTATTTTTTGGAAGGAAAACAAATCAATATCAATTTTGAAAATTTTCACAGAATTTTTCTCGCGCCGTGAAGAAACATCACGAGTGTTTTGAAGCGAATTGACTTTGAGTAGTTACCCACTCAAAATATAAAATATGACAGGAAGTACGCTACGTGGTTTTGGGAATTTCATTGGAGATATAGTCCTCGCCTCAGGAAAGTGATCAACCCATTGAGTGCGTAGTTTTGAAAGCACGTAACAGCATTTCAAAATCTCCGTTCATATTTTACTAATTTAAAAAGTAAACTAACGAATATAATAGCTTGAAATGTCTAGGAATAATCGAGACAGGGCAGGTTGAAGATAAATTCTAGTGTATGTCAGGAAACAATAACGAAATGTCTTTTTTAAAAGATAGAATACGCGAGTAAATTTACAACGTCGCATTTTTAGCCCGGGGTTTTATGAGTTTAGCCATCGCCGCGCGCCATGTCCGCGTTTGTGAATGAATCGTTCTTATCAAGCGGTAACCCAGCTTGCAGTCGTACAGGTCTTGTTTTCATACGCCATGAGTTAATGGATTTTAAACTTTGTGGTGCATACATGCATTGTAACCGTATACCTCTGTCATCCTGCAGTTGATAATCCTATCATTAACATTCTGCGCAAGTAGTAGAATTCCATTAGAGGTGAATTTATAATAAACAATTGGTTTCAATTACATCTTCTACCCTTCGTTTGCCCTCTACACATCAACACTCTCGGTGGATCGATGCAATCTATTTAATCACGACTTCCGCCTCTTCTGCAAGTAATCACCATCGTAACTTCCTCTTTCGCCTTGCGTATCCTTCGTTATGTTGTCCATCACTCGAGTTCGCCCAGAAGGTTCGCAATGCTCTGCTTTGATCCTCACGATAGGTGCAGCAATATTTTGTTTTATTTTGTTACCATATCATTCATATCAGCAATATTTCGTCAGGATAAGTTAAGATCCCAGCCATTTTTGTCGGTGGAAACCTGTGGAATATTTTTATCATTTTTTTTTTTTTTCAAATTTAACGATAAAGTTTTGTATTTTCAACTAGGCAAGGTACAGATTGAGAACCAAAAGACATGCATCTTCGTCAAAATTCATATAGAATTCGACTTATCTATTGAAAATTTCCGATTTCAACTCCCAAGTCAGGAAGAAGCATTTTTTGTGATTCAAATAAACCACCTGCTCGCACACAACCACAGTCTGCTCAAGTCAAATCCAGCAATGAATTTTCAATAAGCATGTTTTTTAATAAGAATTTTTTGGTGTGCTGAATTTTTTTTTTTTTTTACAACTTTATGAGTTGTGGGAGTGAAAGTTAATTTAGAGTAGCTTTGGACAATTCGTCGCTCCTCTGACGCAAAGGCATATCTCGTTTCCCACTTGAGCCCTGGAAAACATGGAGTTATATGGCCACCAGGATTTACTTGGAAATCGAGATACGCCCTTACGTCAGAGGTACGACTAATTGACTGATTCCAATTTCAAATACAGAAGTCAATAGTCTTTTGTGCGTGAAGTTTGGGAGTTTCCAAAATTTTCAACGTATTCTGCTGGAAATTTTGAAGAAAATGACATGTTAAAGTTTAATACTTACCTTATCTAATGGTCCATTCTACGCGCGTCGCCAAAAGTCTTGAAAAGAAATAGATGTATCCTCAAAAATAAGCAAAAATTGAAAAGTTGATTAAAGTAATATTTATTACCTAGTCGGTTTAGCGAGTTGTTATTTTTGCAACTGAGCAGAAGTGTTTTATCCGCACACCAGCTTGCCGCATGATCTGCTGCATATCTGTCAGCGAGTCGCACGGAAAATCAATGGGAAACGGGCCAAAAATTAGATTAGTCGGGTAATTCTTCCAGCGAACAGTGTAGTCTGTATTTGGTTGCATGTGGCTTTAGTGGAGATGGACGCAATTAGCATTCGCAACGTATATGATGTAATATGCACTGAGAAAAAACTATGGCTTATAAACCTATTAGAGGTAAATATGGAACACCACTAATAGTAGTACCTCTACATATAATAATAGCACATATACCTTAGTTATGGTCTCTGTACCTTAATTAGGTACAGAGACCTTAGTATGGTTCACAGACCGAGAATCATTCGTTTATTTACGACTATTATAGGTGTTCCATATTTACCACTAATAGGTTTATAAACCATAGCTTTTTCTCAGTGTGGGCTACACTTCGCAATAAGGAACTACGATTTCTTGCGCTGCCATGAAAACACGTATATCCACCCAACGAAACAAATGGCACATATGATATTTCTAAAATGAGTCAGAAACCGTTGTTCATCATCGCAAAATATAGTAATCAGTTGTTCATCATCGCAAAATATAGTAATCAGTTGTTCATCATCGCAAAATATAGTCAACATGTGATCAAATATCACCTTTCTCTTTGCTTAAGTAACACGCTCAGCTAGAAAATGGCAAGATAATGTGATAGGTGATTTCTGGGTAGTTTTCATTGCTTAGTGTGAGATAATATACATATGTCATCATCATTCAAATATTTTTCGGAAAATAGCTGCTATCCTCCTTTCGAAATCGTATGTGGGTACAAGCTCGATCTCCTGGAAAATTGGCGATCAATGAGTATAAAGTCAAGATCATTTGTATTTGGATGTAGCCGCGAAGAATACATGGGAACACTCCTATGGGCCATCAAGCTTAGAATTTTCTCGCTCTTCTAATAACCAAGTCCACTCATTTGTCTTCTGTAAATCTCATGCATTTGCTTTGCTTCTCAGGGTAAAATTTGTTTTCAACAGTGTAACGTGGCCAATTCGTTGCATTTTTTTTTTTTTTTTGCAATTTTAAATTCAAAAATGGCTCTCGTTTTGCTGTCTTATACCGATCCTTCTGAAAATTGAACCTATCAAAAAAACAATTTTTTCTGCGTAACAAAAGGCACAATCGGATTGCACGTGTAAAACATACTACAACCTAATAATTTAACTAAAATTATCACAAATTCCAACCAATGGGTAAAATGTTCAACATTTGCGTTTGTATGGATAGTCTTTTTGCTATCCTGGTTGAGGATTCCTAACTGGTTTCTCGGACCCCTTTATAGTCCGACTGATCAACGAAGCAAAAACAACAATGCTCAACAACATTTAATGCTCCATCGTTTCGCTGTAAGTGGCGTCAATGAGAAAATGTTGGATGAGGAATGTGGGTGTTGACTATCCTTTATATTTATGATCTTACTGCACATCCATGCCGAGAAGCCGGAAAGCAAGAGAGAGCAGAAGGCAGCACTGCTGTGATAGCGAAGAACGCAGTAAGTGCAATTCTTAATGAGCCATGGTTACCACATGCTTTTATGTGTCTCGAGGTTCATCCCGGCAGGCACTTACCGCTTTCTTCGCTATCACGGCGGCAGAGCACTGTCATCTGGACGGATTACACCGGTAATGAGCAACAATCAAATTGTCGACAATCCACAATCGGAAGAACACCGAACAAAAGTGTTGCGGGAGAAAGATGTTGTTCTACGCTTCTGCTCTCGAGTTTTGTCTCAAAGGACCCCGATTGGCCTGGATTTTGTCCGGAATCAAGCGATGTAGCATCCCGCTTCCAGTTCTAGACAATCTTCAACTGAAATGGGCTCCGACACCCGGGAAAATATGGATTCATCCACCCGTTCACTATGCTGAACAGTGAACCTATCGAAAATGTAATAAGACGCAAAAAGAACAATAATAATGCATACATGAATAAATACAATCAAAGTTTATCACAAGTATTCTGAGGTCGTCTTGATCCCGGACGATTCTCATTTCCGTGTACAGACGAAGGAACATAAATTCATTCCATGGTTGCAAACGGACTCGAACAATTTCATTTTTTATGAGAATACATCCGCACGGTTCTTGTATTATATTTTCCTGATCCTTGCGTGGAATCAGTTACAAAAAATTGAAGAAACCTGCAGTCAGAAATTCCCTCCCGTTTTTCAGTAAAAATAAACTTTACGGATGAAAAATTGGCAACGTTGAAATTTACCTACGTTCTTTTGTCCGGGCAACGACTATTCTTGGCGAGACAGAAAATGAAATTCCCGACTTCTTATAAGCAAATATTTCTGTAGTTTGTCAAACGCTCTCTGCAAATATTTCAGTGCCACGTCCTCAAATGAAGAATAAAAAGTAGGTATTCAAGTGTCACAATGCCTGGACACACAAACGCCTGGATCCGATTGTGATAAGCGCAGCCAGTTCTCACGTAACGAGAATCCCGATGTGGAAAGTTGGTGGTTTTGAAAACGTCTTCAAGTGTGGCGTGACACCTCACGGATTCCGGAGAGTTCGAATAGTTGTATCACTGCGCCTTAGCAGTGCGATGGAAGTTGGTAGTTTTGAAAACGCCTTCAACTGTGGCGTTATACCTCCCGCATTCCGGAGAGTACGAATAGTTGTATCACTGCGCCTTAGCAGTGCGATGGAAGATTAATATTAACGTAGCCTCCTCGCCGGCCTTGTCGGTTTTCCTCTGCTGCTATTGCACTTTTGACCGCATAGTTTAAGTGTGCTCAAACTAGAATTGCGTTTAGCAAATGGATAATTTTTTAGAATAATTAAAAATCAACACGTGGTAGGAAATGTAACGAAACATAATAATAGGAACTCAAATCAACAAACAACTTAAAGGTACCGAAAAAGTACCGAGTTTTTTCTGCTTATGAGGTACTGAATTTTTTGAAAAGGTTTCTGAAAAATTTCAGCCAAGGTGTTTAATTTTTTCAAGCCAGTTTTAGTTGACACCCTGCTAAATACGCGAATTAAATCGAAAGAATCACGCAAATCCTATTGCACATGTTAAGCGCTCAGCCAATAGGGAGCGCTTATTTCTTTTTACTTATTTTTTTACAGGTTGAAACCTGCCTCTAGAATTGTAGTATACTAGTGGCAATGCATTCAAATGGCGCACCAGCTCAGCAACTAGACGGCGGAGAAGGGCCTCACATATGCAGAATAGATTAATCTGCGATACCTTTATTGAATGCTCCTGATGTCAAAACACGAAGGCGATAGTCGTTTTCCTGTAATTTATTTCTTTAGCGGTGGTGTAGGTTTCTCAAAATATTGATAGTTGAAACTTTGGTGAGCGAGTTCTTTCATCTCAACGGTGAAGCATCCTCTCCGGGAAGCTTAAAAACGCGCCTACATGAAAAACATCTAAGCATTTCTCTATTACAAGCGTATATTAGAGCTTTACCGCTTATTTCCTTTTGATTTAAATCGTTTGGGCATAGTTTCTTTCGTGCGCATTTAAATCAAAAGAAACTATATCCTGTGTGAGCTCGCTGAGCTGAGCCCTGTCTTGCGTGTATTCTTAAGGATCTCAGGGCTCATAACAGAATTCACATAGTTCCTTTTGATTTAAGTACGTCCGTTCAGCATGAATACGATCAACTGGAAAGCGTATCACGTCCACACGGCGTCCCTTCCCCGCCACGGGAGTTACACCTCGCTGGGTTGAAAGTGTTTTTTCCCCCATTCGAGCTGCTGTGAATTGACCGATTGGAGTTGGCTCACGCTGATGAATTGCGTCTACTTCATTCGCGGGCCCGCTATCAATTAAGGACCGCAAGGATCCAGATAGGACACGGACCCCCCGTCTAATCGGATGTCCAAGTGTTTTCAACCGTTTTCGTTTCGCCCACCACGAGCCGCGGTGGTGACGGCGCACAGTGGTTCGAGTCAATCAGAGAGATCTGACATGCAATTTCTAACTAAAACTGCAAATTTTGATGTTAAATTCGTCACACATTACATTTTAAGGGGTGCTTCTAGAAGAAAATTTTACAAGGAAACCAATGAAACCACTTTCAGAACCTCAGAGTTTTGTATAAACGATGTTATACGCGTTTAAAGTTTCCGAATTTTGTCCGACCTCTCCTATTGACTCGTTCCAGTGTGCGGCGGCGGCGGGTCTCGGCGGGTTCCAATTAAGGCATCTTCGATAAAATATCGATTTCGCGATAGCGTTAACACGTACGCGAGCATCCGTCAGACGGGCACTCGCGCTCCCAGCTGCTCTTCGCTCGACCCTCGACCTCCCGCCCACGCAGGAAGAAAAATTTCCGTTTCGATCGATGGAAACGTCCGACGAATACCGCCGTCGTGTTACCGTAGAAACTCAAAAAATTATGTTTCGGGAAATTGGACCTTCTGGCGTTTTGGTGGAAAATTGTATTGAGTGAATCCTCTGTTCGTCGAAAATTGTCAATTTTTATCCGAAAGTCCCCTAGGCCTTGGCCAGAGTCTCCGGAACCTTCCTAAGATATTATTCCGGCCTGCACACAGAAAAGGGGCGAAAAACGATGCGCAACTGAAAGTTCCGCGATCTCACAATTAGCCTGGTAAAGTTTCGCGATCTTACCTTGGTAATGTTCCACAATCTTGCTCCGGCGAGGTTCCGCAATCTGGTTCCGGTAAAGTTCCGCGATCTTGTTCCGGCAAGGTATCGCGATCTTGTTCCGGCAAGGTTCCGCTATCTTGCTCCGGCAAGGTTCCGCGCTCTTGTTCCGGCAAAGTTGCGTGTACCGTTGCTCGTGCGGACGTGGCCTTAGTATTGTTCTTATGATTAGGAATCGTCGAATTTTACCTTCGTCTGTGTGTAAAACTTCCTAGGAAGGTTACAATAAACTCTTAAAAATAAAAAAAATAAAAAAAAAAAAATTAAAAAAAAAAAAAAAAAAAAAAAAAAAAAAAAAAAAAAAAAAAAGCGTAAAAGGCCTTATTCATTTCAGGTTTTGTAGGACAGTAGTATGTGTCATATGCTGCATGTTTGCGTGGTTACGTTTTGGACGGTTAACAAAAACTCTAACAACTAACAAAGGTTAGAAATTGGCAGAAACCCCTAGTATTTTGTACCCAACAACAATAGATAATGCTCTCTCGAGAAATAATGTAGATTTTCTGCTATATTTTGCCTGAAATGACGTTTGTCGTACGCGCTTACTAACTCAACCCTTTCACTGGTCCCTTTATTCAGCGTGTCTTCATGTGGCTCTCTAGAGAATCTACTTTACGCCCTTGAAATGTTTGATTTTTTTCAAATGTTAAAAGCTTCGAAAAATCCCTCTTCTAATGAGTGTATGCTTCATTTGTTTCAACCTTCTGTCTACTATCGTTTAAAATATATTTCTTTTTTTATTTGTTCCAGTTGCCTGTTGCTGATCCATTTTTAGAAAAAGTTGATCTTACTGATTTAGGTAAGTTGTAGACATCTTTTCTTACCAATTTTTTTAGGGGTTCCCTTTACAGGGATACTAATATTAAACCACTACATAAGTTCACGACTTCTCTCCGAGGGAAGGGGGACCTATAGGTTGAGGCTGAAGCTTTTCCTATACAGGAACAGTTTTTTAGTGTGGAATGACAACCACTTAAAAACTTTTTAAAGGCCCTAGCAAGGGCTTAGCGTGCCTAATTGCCTGTCCATAAGCAAAAACCGTAAGAAAGTGCGCGGATAAAAAAGTGTAACGGGTTTTCCCCAAATTTGTGGTACTACCCCAATTTTTTTGATGACATGGGCGTTTCCAATTAATTGTGGTAGTAACCTAATTTATTAGGGTACTACCACAATTAATTGGAAATGCACGTATCGTCTAACAACTCCCACCTCTCTTTTTCCGTGTGAAAATCGGGAAAACCCCTAGTCGGTGAGTTTTCATTCTCACTGATTCAAATCAAGTTCAGCCGGTAAATCCTCCCCTCTTCCACCATTTCAACCCTTCTTTTCCTGCGGAATTGCAGGGTACTCACAGGCATCTTTGCGCGCATTCGAGACCTCGTGACCTCGCGTCTCGCGCCTGTCGCATACTTGACCTCGCGGTTCCCCTCGAGTCACACCCTTCACAAATACCTTCGCCGTGCCGCGCCGGGACGTCCAGAGCGTATAAGGGTTCCGTCCGTTGTCTTGCTATCATATTTCGGATAAGTGAAGCGGCGACAATATTAGTTCCCAGAAAGCACAAGTTCTGCTCCAAGGATGTGCCCGTGGGCGACCATCTTTGCATTCCTTCCCGGAATTCCCGCCGTTTGGACAGAATATCCGATTCTGTGGTTACCGCAAAAATGTCTCTAATAGCCCGCCAACAGAGATAATATGCTTTAGACACCCTCCACTACTATCTTTCCTACCGTGTAAAAAATTCTCTCGAAAGTCAACGCACAGGCTTGCTTTAATGTTGGCTCTCAACCAAACAGTTTTTTTTTCTTTCTTTCTTCAATTTTTTTCTTTTTTCCCCCTTTCCTTTTTTAAAGTACTTGATAAGTACGTACAACTTGTCAAATTAACGGCTGGCTTCACTGCGAGGATCCAAAATGACAGAGCGCTTTCAATTCTTCGTTAATACCACAAAGATATCTTCCCGGCACAAATGGTTGCATGCAGGCGTAAGCCTTGTTTGCACAAGACGTTTCATGGTATTTGTCCCAAGTTCGAATTGCAGGAATGAAGCTTCTAGGCTTTTTCCCCGTCAAAGAAAACAAAAATTTTCTTCTCCTTCTCTCTGAGGAGCTCCTAGGACTCCACAAGGACTCTACTTGGTACTGATGTGATTAGTATTAACTAACTCAATTTTTTCCCAATTTTGCAAGTGAGATTTTTCCCTAGGAGGACAAATTCCATGAAACGTGCCGCGGAGATAACCGCAGGATGTGAGTATCTATGCTTCAGTTTTGACTTCGCAATGTGCTGAGTCTGATTCGTACGAGTTACTATTCATGCCAAAGAAATATCTCTGCAGTATAAATGAAGAGTAAAAGGCTCTCTATCAGTTTAGATCATCATACAGTAGCGCCCGTGCCGCAGGATGCAGGCGCCAGGCCGCGGGTGAGGCAGTGAGTGTCTGGAGAGTCAAAACGCCTTCACTTGCGCGCGTATGCAACACGGACATCCATGGAGCTCGAATAGTTGCATCCACGCTTTTCGAATAAATGCGTTTCGTGTTCGTCGCATTCGACACTACGCGAGGGCGCTCTGTTTGTAACAAATTAAAAGTCCAGGGCAGCGCTCGGTCAACACCCCAAACCTCGAGGAATTACATTGGATAATTCATTCGGCAACTGTTTTAAAAATTGGTTGAATCCACTAGAGTAATTGATTTTTTATATTTCAACCGTATTCTGCGTGAAAATTTGAAAAACAATTATGCGTTTTGGTGCTGAACTTCTCACCCTTCCTTGAGATCTATTCCTTGGGAATCTTTGCATATTTGTGTGAGACCTCCCTCCCTCCTTCTCTCTGTATTCTGTCGGGGTAAAAGTTTACAGGTTTAAACCTCTGTAAATGCTGTCAGTAATGGCCTGTGTCGCATTTTTTACAAGTATTTTTTCAATGAAAATATACAGGGTGAACCAGGGTTAAACGTCCAGACTGCAGGAGCCGAAACACCCCCAAACCCCCTATTTAAATTGAGATTTCGATTTTTTTTAGATCATCTATGAATGTAGGGCATATATGTACAGGAGAACACAAATTTGCATGAGATTTGGTTCACAACCGTTGCCAAAATTCAGGGAAAACGATTTACATTCCGTTTCCCGTGATTTCAATTAAAATCGTTCGAAAAATTCTTGTAAATTTTTCAGCAAATCTGTGCGTATCTTTTTAAAAATATTGATTGAAATTGAAGCATTAACTGCGGTTTGCAACGTTGCAATCCAGGTAAATAATGATTAATGTCGCGACCAAATTTCCCGTGATTTCAATTAATCGTTCGTAAAATTATTATACATTTTTAAAGAAAATCTGTGCGTATCTTTTAAAAAATATTGATTGAAATTGAAGCATTAATTGTGGTTTGGAACGTTGCAATCCAGGTAAATAAGCTCCTTTTCGCGTGGAACCATCGATATTTGAGTTCGTTTACGGCAGGCGTGACATACAACTATTTGACCACGGGTGTAAGCATGTTGCAGCTTCGCCGGATTGAAGGCGCGTCAAACTGCGAAGATGTCTTCACCGCCCAGCCGACCCTCGCTGGCGGGACGAACGCTAAAATTGCTGCGACACGTAGACGACGCGTGATTACTAATGACTCCCTTCTAATTTTCCCCATAAAAAACACAAAAAAAACAATCCTAATAGCTACGATGTAGAATCAGGGACCGTGGTTTTTTTTCCGGTAAAAACAAAAAAAGGGAAATAGGACTAAAAATAATGTGGCGACGGAAGTTGCTCCGACTGGGGGCACTTTTGAAACAAAAACTTAATACACTAAAAAAGTTTTGTTTTGACCCATAGAACAGGCTCCTGCAGTCTAGCCGTTTAACACTTGATCACCCCGTGTATGTTATGATTAAGAATTTTCAAAATATGTTGAAGGATTAGATCCTAATTGGCCATCGAATCATGTTCGTTTCCACTGACAGTCGTCCATGAGCCGTGCAGATCATCAGTGCACAGTGCACATCTGTTCTAGACTAATTTGTTAATGCATACATGTAGATCTATCTCCCGGTTTTAATTTAGCTGCATCGCATGTCGAAATAGTCGCACGCTGGGCGCTTCGAGTTTGTCGCCGCCTTGCGACAAGTTCGACGTCCTCCCCCCCCCCTCCCCCCAGAACTTACCGTCTCCATTCCGTTCTCGCTCCATCAATTCAACAGACTGAACTTCCCCGTTTTCAATCTTCAATTAACACTTTTTTATACCGTTTCTATGGAGTGCACTCCGTGTCTTCATTCAGTCTTCTCAGAATATCCTCCCCCTCGTACTCGCAGTCGAGAATTCTATTTGCTCGTACGTGAATTCGTCTCGTTAAACGTAGCGTCCTTAATGTTTTAAAACAAATCAAAATTAATATTTATTGATTCCACTCCCAACTTCCAACAAACGAAAACAAAATACCTTTGAATTGTGGCTGTAATCGTGGTAGATTATTAAATAATCAGAGAGAGCCTAGTTCTGTAATTCTACCTCCTGCATACCCATAGGGGTCCAAAACGTTCCTAAACTCTTACATTTTAGCGGGCTTCTGTCCTCTTGCTTCAGGGCTACATTTCCGATTTGCCTAACAGAAAAAGGTCCGTTTTTTGGTAAACTGTGCGATTTTCCCGACTTTTTGAAGACGACGAAGCATGCAAGAAAGGAACGTTGAACAGGCTCCCGAGCCAAAATTTGCCCCACGTTATCCGCGAGGCACCTTTTACCCACCCGCTCCGCATGATCAGTCTTATCTATGTTTGTATTAGTCGCTTGTACAGAATTTTAGGGCGCTCTGCGATACCCAACCGCCACCGACCGTATCTGTGGGTTGAGAATTTGATCATAGTTACGAGATTGCACTCGGGCAATTGAAATTTTGACCACCATTCTTACAGTAACTGAACTTTCGAAGTTTTTTTCGAGATCAGATGTTTACCTTAAATGATACCAGTGGCATACCATCGTGCTTCTCAAGAAAATTTACAGTGAATCATAAATCCTTCGTTCTTCAGGAACTATTTTTGTCGTCATTCTTGAGCCAAAGTTTGGAAAATTATGGGAATTTCCCGTTTTTGTGCTTTTGTAGGTATCGTTGCGATGTACGAGTAAATTGAAATTTTCCAGTCGAAATTATCGGCGATCGCGAAGTCATTGAGCGCAGTAAGATTGATATTGTGGCAACGAGGCGTCCCATGAGTGCCAATAATACTGCCGTGCTAAGGAAGAACGCCGTATGAACATTCGAGAGTTGCCAAGTTTCCTTCGATAAAACATGTATTTTTGACGAAATTCATGCACATTTTTCTTTGAAATGTTCAGATATTTTAGAGTAAATTGCGTACAAAATGGTCTGAAAATGTTGGAAATAAATGTTCAAAATTTTCCCAGTAAATTCGGTTTTTATCGAATGAAACTTGGCAACGCCTGAAAGCTCATACGGCGTTCTTCCTTATCACGGCAGAATACCTCCAAATGCTAGTTACGGTGCGATGTGAGACGCGTAGTCGTTTTGAAACAAAATGACTGATAGTGAAAACACGAAGAATTTTTTCGATGATAATCTTTTAATTGCTCGGGTTGATAAAACCACCAGCTCTTGTGTTTCTTAATGCGAAGGCAATCGCACAGGGGACCTCTTCGTTAAATATTGAGAATTTGTGTCTGTGAACCAAGTCTCGCGCCGAGGATTTTTGTAGGAGATATGTTACCCTTGAAAAAGACCCATTTTCCCGAAGAATGAAACTTATTAATGGGACTGCATTTTGCAATTTAGAATGA